TGGTGACAAAATATGGTGACAACAACAGATAAGCAGCCCCACAAAGCTCCATTTCACCCAGTGAGTTCTATCAGTCCTTTGTGACTGTCAGGCAGAGGATGCAAGGTAAAGGCAGAGCAGCACCGTGACACACAGGTCTGGGGAAATCTCCTGGAAAATCTTCCCTGAGATGGAAATGGTGGATGTGATTCGACATCATCCCACCTGCTTAGCATGCACTGCTAAGCGGAAAACACTAGCAAATTAAAATATTTTCTACAACTTTGCACAAGAAGGAGATAACAGAAAAGCAGGCCTAACTAGAAAATAAGCTAATGCTTAAAATCTTGGGAACTGAAGAGGTTTTAGCTAGCAAGGAAGGGTTTATGCTGGAGAAAAGGAAGAGTTGACTGCTAGCAGGAAGTAGAGTTGGAGGAATCAAATTTGAAGGGAATGTTTCAGGTTTCAGCTATTCCAGGTGCCTAAATGTAGGCAGGTAATGCTCACTACGTATCCTAAGCCATTCAAGCCTCCTGCAAGGTCTGGAAAGGTGAATACAGAAGCTACAGATAATCAATCCAGCTCCTTGCAGCAGCAGTTGCTGGAATAACCTCAGCACATCTGCAACAAGTATGAGTCACCAGGCGTTTAGGTACTGCTGCACCCAGTGTCTCTCCCTAAGCTCAGAACATCACTTCTCCCCACATCAACAACAGCTATGGGAAAGCCCTACTCGAGCACGGACAGAGGGTATGCATTTCTGGCAGCAAGCTGGGGTCTTTCCTCTAAGCTAGCAGTAACCAGTGGGAGCAGGGAGGAAGGTAGCCTCCGTAGGGTGAACAAGGAAGGGATGGGAGCAGAGACAGCTGCTGACAGCACATGAAGTACATGGTTTGACTGCTACTTCAGTGAGACACTACCTGTATCTGGGCATTAGCATCCATTTCACTTGCAGCCTGGTAGGGCAGTACAATGTATCTCCACGTTTCAGACATGAAGCTCCTCAGGGGGAAATTCAGAATCTGATTACTGTGCAAATCTAGCTGGTATGCTGGGTTGTGGCTCTCTTACTTCCCCTAGCCCCCACTCCTTGCTTTCTCTGCCTAGAAATCACTTGGTTGTGCAGCCAGACTTTCCCACTATCTCCTTAAAGCAAGTCTCTATCTCCCAGAAAGGCTTGTATGTATGGGTATACTCCCTTAGTTGCCTTTAACAGTCTCAAGTTCACAACCTGAACTTGCCTATCACATGCTGGAGAAAATAGCCCAGCAGCATTCAAGTCATAATTATGCTGTGTCAATTCTTGTTTGATCATTAGGTTACAATTCAGTAGTTCAGGCAACTCACGCTCTTCAAACGATCGCTCATTTCACTGGACTGTTTGCATGACACTTCACTCTAATAGTTTTAGCTATTTATTTATTTTTGAAAGGCCACCTTTATCATAACTCAGAAGACAAATTCTGAATCTATTCTGTTTGAGTTTTGTTTTTGCCTCTTTTATGAGCTTGGCAGTTTTACTTTAGCAGAAGCATAAAGATATTCCCTTAAAACTTAACCGCAGAGTGAACTGCCCATAAAACTTGCATTACTTTTTGGTTTATTTGTTTTTGTTGTTGTTGCTTGGTTTTGTTTTTTAATTATTATTATTAAACACAGGTTGCCATTAAAAAAGATTTCTCATCATCCGCATTACTGTGCTTGGCATTTTGTAGTCAACACCGCAGAACATCAAGTTACACAGTCTGGTAACTGAAGCTAAATGTTTGGTTTTTCAATCACAACCACTGCAGAAGCCTTCTTTATAATAGGAAAAAATAAATAAATACCACATAAAAAAGATCAAAAGGTGAGTCAGAACTTATCTAAATCTCAGTAGCCATAGATAAAGCCTGTCCTGTTGCCATAAGTAGATTACCACAAGTAACGTATGGAAAGAGTTGATTGTGGAAGGAAGGAATCTCACATCCTACTGAAAATTCAATATATACCAAGTGAACAGTGAAAAGCTTTTACAGATAGCCATGAGTACTAGCAAATGGTTGTAAGGCAGTTAGACAACAACAAAAGAAAATGTAGGAGCTTGAATAGCTTTGCATTTCTAGAGCTCCATTATCATTTTGCAAACCTGACTACTTTTACATATATTATAACTCCAACACATATAATGCAAACAAATTTAATCCTAAAGGCATTTGCAGCTTGAATTTCCTACACAGAGATCGTAAATCTAGAATGGGAAGCTTGAAATCGTTAAAGTCACATATTTATAAGATCATATTCAATTAGGTTAAAAAAGTGCAATTTCTGTCATCATGTCATAAAAAGATGTGTTTTTCTCTCAGATCTACTATAAAGAAAAGCTCCCTATATTGTTACAGATAGGGGCTGTTTTCAATCAGTTACAAGGAGCAATCCAATTACCGGATGGTTTAGTGCAGTAACTGACTCCAGACTAATTTAATTTCTTTAGGTCTCTAAAGATCAATTGATCTGATTTGTTTCCCTCCCCAAAGGCTGTTTAGGAAAAAGCAGGCTTAAATACCTGGAAATGAAATACAAAGCTCTGTACACTTTCACACTACTTAGGTCATTCTGAAAAGCTGGAACTTGTGGTAAATTAGTGCTCTCTTGGCCCTAACATCACAGGCAGCTTTACAGGAAACCGTTAAGATCACCGCACAGCATTGCAGATTATGCATGCACACGCTGTATGCAAGCTGTCTTAGGAAGAATTGCATGCAAGACAGGTTCACAGCTTCTAGGTCAAGAGCTGGGCAAATGTGCAGTTGCACTACAGTCCTTCCCTGGCACAGATACACATGGTACGTGTCTGCAAGTATTTCTTATCACACGGCCGTCTTACCAAAGGTACCACATTTCCAACTCGACTGAAGGAGAATCACACTGCTCTATCCTGTGCATCCCCTGCATCTTGTAATGCTCACCTCATTGGACATAAGCCCGGAAACCCTTCCTGTGTCATACTTCGCATTGCTATCTCTCCTGCTTCACATCACGTTTATTTAAGTAATATTGCTGGTGCTAAGATGAAAGCTGTAGAATAGTGAGCACTTTGAAAATGACATTCTTATGTGCCTGATTATTTAATGCTGGAAATGAATAAAGCCTTTGGTATGTCTGGACTGTATCTAATAACTTAGGAAATCAATCTCCTATTAGCTAGCCCCCTTGTGTATCACACATTTACTGTCATATTACTTGATAAACAGTGCAGCAGATCTTTTTTCTTAAACACCACTGTGCCCTAACCAGAGCTAAATGCTTCCATTTAAGTGAAAATAAGATCGTATCCAAACCTAGACCCTCAAATGCAGAGTTTTAATGGAATTTCAATACTTCTCCACGGTCTGTTTTTGTATTTATTGTAGGTTTCACATTTGGATACCTTATCTTTCATGGCAACATTCATGCCTGGGCTAGGCTGCCTGTCTCAGGCTCTATTCTTATCAATAAACAAAAGGGCACTGTGGTTTATGCTCAGCATTTCTGACTTCGTGCCATGTGCTGTTATAATAAAATGTCCTCTGGAAAAATTCCCTTCATACCCAGCACCACGATGGTCAGTTCATCAGCACAGAGGTAACTCAGTTTTTCTTCCCGCTTATCTATCTATTCAGACTCTCTCAGCTCTTGCAAAGCTGTGTCATTAGATCTTGCCTGTCTGTAAAGCAAAGAAACTGAAATGTGAGGATCAAGCTCTCTTCTCTTCCTACAGGTCCTTTCTTGACTATTTCCTGCATTCCTGCCTGAGCTTTGCACATTGTTTGTTTTCTAGTGCTCTGTCCAGAAACCAGGCTATGCTATTTTAGTTAAATTTATGTTACTTTTCTCCATTTTCATCTAAAAGTCCTTCACCTAGAAAGAAATTTTTAACAGCTTTGCAAGCATGCATTATTATTCACATGCTTTTTTTTTTTTCTCAGAATTACTGTTCTTTCACCCAGCAACTTAGCAGATCACTAATGATCCAGTAGGAGTAAGGTATAAGTTATATCAACACTTTCCAGCCATAGATTTGTTTGGATGTATGCACTTTTGCTGTAAGGAGATTTTCTAGCTATATGCTCAATAAAGTCATATTCCGTTTTGTCCCCTATGTGCACCCATGGAAAATGAATCACAGATACATCTGGATATCCCCAAATAGGAGCCTGGAGGGTTTTGGCCTCTCCCAGTTTACTTTCATGATCATATAGGAAAATTTGGATGTGCTACATCCATCTCCATCAAGTTCTCTTCCAGCCTAAAGGACACAGGCTGCTAAATTTACTTCATTTGCCAAACCGTTCGACACGATATCATAAAAATGTGAAGCACTGGAGAGCTACCAAGGGATCAGAGTTTATTTCCTACTCAGCTGTGGGTTAATGCTTCTGTCCCTATAGCAGCAGTTGCTTATAATGATCTGTACACACAAAACTCCACAGTTTGCAGATAAAGCTTTCCCCTGATGAAGCCTGCAGTACAATTTTGGTGAAACAAAAATGGCATCTTTGTCGTCAGAGTGGGAGTTATGGGATTTGTCCTGATGGCAATAATTGCTGACTTCAGTGTCTGGGACTGCTGAAGTGTATTTTGGGAAGCTCCCCCTCTCTTTTCCACTGTGTGAAGCAGTGAGGAGCTATAAAGATGTTTTTCACAGGACCACTGCCCTTGTTTCCCAGTGACCCAATTCACAGCCCTCAATAGGATTAAATGGCACGATAAGAAAAAAGCTTTTCATTCTAAAGTTTTAAAACTGACTGTCTCCCCCTTCAAGAAGCCCCATCAGGAAGATGAATATATTGGCCCCAACTGGAACAGATGTCAAAACTCAGCACAGCTCTTTCTTCGTAAAGTTTGTAAGTATTTTTAAAGGAGGTGCAGGAGGCTTACCATATGCAACAAGATAACTTTAAAATGCACAGCTTCTCAGGAGTTGAAAGGATGCTTTTCCTACAAACTCTCCCTTCTCTTTATCTTATCTGCATGGAAAGTAAACAGAAAGTCCCCATTACCTCTCGATATCAGTGAGTCTGGAAGAGTCGCGGAATCCTTTGGCAAAAGGGTTGCTGTCAATTTTCAACTTGGTTATCTGGAAACACAGAAAAAAGCAACGCAACATGAAAACAGTGTTAAACTATGGCAGTGTACAAAGTGTTTGCCTATCCATTCTCCTGACCTCACCACTAGTTGTATCCATGTTCTTCATGTGTGTGCACAACTCTTGAGGTGCTGCAAAGCCATGTATATAATTCATACGAGAGCAGAAAGACCAAAGGGTACAGCAGGCTCAGATTTTGCATTACCCGGAGCAGGAGTAACCCACCCACATGAGGCATTATTGCTTCCAGACAACGCAAGTCAGGTAGCTTTTATCCATGAGAAAGCACAGCACCCTGCAAGCATCTGAGCCTCTCCAGTGGAGCTGCACATCAGCTATGTCCAAACTGGGGATAGCTGCCTGCAGACTTCAGCCCCATTTTTTTTCCTATTTTTTTTTTCAACTGTCATGCAAATATTCTCAGCCAGATTTACCTCCCATCACACAGGGGCAGTTTAGCTGGTTTTGCATGGAAAGATGGATGGGAAGGGAAGGGAAGGGAAGGGAAGGGAAGGGAAGGGAAGGGAAGGGTTAAAATAGTAACCCCATTAAAACAGTCAGTCCTAGAAAGCCAGATCTCTTGAAAGAAAAACTCCCCTCCCATCTTCAAATGCAGCCCTACAACTCTGAACACTTAGTCAGCCTTTACTTTTGCCAGAGCAACCACAGACCAGGACACCCTGTGGCACCAGGGATGCACTGAACTTTGCAGTGAAACTTCCCTGGAAGAGATGGGGGCTTCCACTGTGTTTCTGGGAACAGGAAAACACACCGTTGCCTTAGCAGTTTTCTAGCTGTTCAGTTAAAAAAAGTTTGGTGAGTAACACTTGAGAGAAGGACAAGGGGAAATGGCAGAACAAGGGGAAATGGTTTGAAGTTGAGGGAGGGAAGATTTAGGTTGGATGTCAGGGGGAAGTTCTTCACGTAGAGAGTGATGAGGTGCTGGAACAGCTGCCCAGAGAGGCTGTGGATGCCCCGTCCATCTCTGGAGGTGTTCAAGGCCAGGTTGGATGGGGCCCTGGGCAGCCTGGGCTGGTATTAAATGGGGAGGTTGGTGGCCCTGCCTCTGGCAGGGGGTTGGAGATTCCCTTCCAACCCTGGCCATTCTGTGATTCTGTGACAATCAAAACAGTATTTGGATTTACCATTTATGCTAAACAGCAAGTGGGAGTTATAGTTTTTCTTGGAGCAGAGGGACAACATGTGGTCTGACCTGAAGGGCAGCCACCAACTTCAGCTACAATTGATGAAAATCAACACTGCCTACTGAGCAGTGGTTTCAGCCCGACTTTCCTCAAAAAAAAAAAAAAAAAAAAAAAAAAAAAAAACCAGCCCCAAAACCCTGTGTCACAGAAGCTCCACTTTTTTCAAAGAATGGCCCTACGGACTCAAAAAGGAAAGGGTTCTTTTCCAAATCCTTAGACAATCACATTGCCATCAAGCCCATGGTTGTCCACTGGAGGCTGGTCAAATGGCACAGGACCCCAGAGTTGGCTGAGGTTTTGGGGCTGTTCTGCCTTGCAAACACTCTCAGGGACAACTATCCTCAACGCTAGCTTTGCAACAGCTCAGCAAGCCAGGTGCAGTGTCATCCACCTCCTGAGAAGCCTATGTGCCAGATTTGCAGCAATGCTGGGAAGAGCAGCAGGTTGCTGCCTCACGTATGGGGAACATTTTAGTGGCAGGACTTGAAAGCTACCTTGCAAAAAGACAAGCTCTAACTAGTTTGATTGACTTAGATCACTGGCACGCTGCGCCAAGTGTACTGCAGAATCGTGAGGATTTCTATTCATCTCTTGAGTGTATTTTCACCAATCATACTTCCATTTTCCCAATATTAAAAATTTGGTATGACATCACAAGAGAAACTTTTTGTATTCACCAAAGCCAGATGAGACTCGCAATCATTTATGGCCATATTTTTCCTGAGAGACTGTCTCACAAACAATCAGAGAACATCTGCTAGAAAGCATTTTAAAATGAAATTTGACCTACAATTCAACTCTGTGGCAGTGGTTTGACTGTTTAAATAAATGCATGCCCTTTAAATCTTAAATTATGAGATAGTTTGTTGAAAGTGTAATGTATTTAGCTTTTATCTAATAACCTCCAGAAATGTAATCAGCCCCTCCTTAAAACAGTTCTGAAAGAAATGGCAAAAATGAAAAAAGGCTCCATTTTCATTAGTCATAAATAAAATGACAGCATCAACCTCTAGGGGTTCCGGAGATGTTCCATTGAGAAATTTTCCAGGACTCGTTGCATGTTCTTTGGGAAGGTTAGTTTGGAAACATCTCTTACATAAATATCGATGGTAAACATAAATCTATCCTATAGAAATAAATGCAGGTTTAGCTAGCTTAGTGCCTCCTGTGTTCTACTAGTTTCTACAGAAAGCTAAAAGGAAAAAATCTACCCAAATGTTCAAACTAGATGTTTTTTGAGATTGTCGTGTGCTGAACCTGAGTCTACAGTCAAAACATCAGATGTTGGAGCCTTAAAGCTGGATGTGGGGTCTGTCACAAGAACTAACTGCTGCATCCACAGCTTATTTGAACCCTCATGCTGTAGCTTCATTTTGTCCATGGCACTTGGAAATGAGTTAGTATTTCTTTATATTAAGAAGCGCAGACTTCTTTAAGACAACAGTAGGTTCTTTGACTCCAGGATGCTGCCTGCCCACATGTTTGGACAGTACTTCTTAAATTTTTCTTAACTTGGGGGAATTAGAGATGGAAAGGGTTCTCTTTTTGAAATGCAGAAGACATTTATCCTTTTAAATACATTTTGAATCGCACTGAAGCCAACGACATGTTTCTACTGACTTAAATATTAAAGCTCTACCCACTGTTAAGTAAAGCCTCTGCTTTCCAATTGTTTATATACTTCCTAAAATTACTCATTAGCAATCCATTGTTTTGATCTCCTCCATTTTGTATACATTATTCACTGGCATGCAGATTGAAATTCAAACATCTGGATGTAATCTGGGCAGCCTCTGAAAAGCGTATCTCTGGGTGATTTCCTTTAGATTTGAGCCTTAAAGCTTTATCAGTCAACTTTTTAAACCCATGAAATCGTGACGTGCAAACCAGCGTATTGCGCAGCTAATTGCTCATGGCATGAAAGATCACTTTGAATAAAAATGGTTCCTTAATGAACTATAATTAGAAAAGGACAGAACGATAATATGCAAACTGCCTTGTATAGAAAGAAAGGAATAAAAATGAAAGCTCCTTTCATGTCATCTTTATTCCCGTGAATAATCCTTACGTCCCTTTGAAGTTAGCAGAACTATCTGTGTACATAAGGGTGACTTCTGAATATGAATGAAGCCAGCCAAAGCCACTGTTAGAATGGAAAGGTAGGTTCTATCAGAAACTTTCCTAGACGAGACTGGGGAAAAAGGGAATTTTTAGCAGGGTGGAATTTAACTGTATCTGTGCAAATTAGCAACTATACTCACCAATTGATTCTGGTAGGCTGTGACAGCAGTAAAAACTGTCTCTGGAAAGATAAATGTCCTGAACTCTTCGGATTTCAGATTTAACAAAGAAGCCGTGTGATCTTTCTTCTTAATGATGTGGACTCTTGGCTGGTACTTGTGCATGGAGTTTAAAATGATCTGCAAGAAAGAGTTACATGGCACTGCCCTGAGAGGAAGATTAACAAGACCCTTGAAGACTATAATTGAAGCCGTAGAAGAAGTTGAAGAGGTGGTTTCCTCTGCCTCCCATGTTACTGGTAAGCGTCCAGGAACATGAGTACCTATTCCTACAGATGAAATGTGTTACCTACCTGATCTTATTGCTTGTATGGGACCTAGTTTGCAGGTTTCACCTGCAAATGTGGGTATTTTATTCTTGAAAGTGTATGACCAAGCCCTAACGTTTACAAAATTATGCAGGTGCTGAGTGTAGAAAGCCAAGAATCACCCCCCCAAAAAATAAAAACCACTATTGCCAGCACAAACTGTCTGACCAAAAAATAAAACTTCCCAGATCTTTATATTGTAGCAAGCTTTTAAAGCAACCTACATGATAGATATTCTTCACCATAAACTACCAAGAAGGGAAACTAGGACAGAAACCCCAAATGACCAAGTTTTTCCATTTTGTCTCATTAATTCTTGTTTGTGGGCCCCCGAAATAATTCTAAACTTAATGTACCAACAAACCAATTCCAATGTTCACTGGCGTCAAACAGCGATTCCCATTTGCTTGAATTACCATGGGATGGAGGCCTTTTTGGCTGCCTCTAACCACAGCATTACAATATAAGAATTAAATACAGAGTTCGGCTTGCACCAGTCCTTGTTTTGGATATAATCACAGTCACAAGACTAAATTGGCAAAGGAGTGGGTGGTTCTATTTTACAGGGGCCATAACTACACTGCAGCCAGCTCTGTACATCTGGAATAGCTAATGTGCATTCCTTGGGAAGCGTTAACTTCAGCTGAAACACAGCAGAAGCAGGGCAGTACTTTGTGCTAGCTCAGTAAATAGGAAAGGTTGCATGTGCTCGTTTTTCCTCTGGGGCCAAATATTGCTATGACATGCACTGTGACTGCAGGGGTCACACAGGCTGCACTCAGTGGAGACTGCACAAAGGTACCACCTTAAAGCATCATTGGATGTGATGGGAACAACCTGGAGTAGCTGGCTGCATTGAGTGCTTACTGGTTATTCAGCATGAGCACAGGCCCCCGGCCATCCCATCTGCCCCCGTGCTGACACTTCAGGTGTGGAGGTGGCCAGAACAGGTCCTTTTAGGATTAGCAGGGGCCAGATGGACCTTGAGGGCAACTGGCTCCCACCGACGGCAGGTCAGTCACCAGAGGCAATCTGGATGCCAGCTGCAAAATCCTTAGAATTTGAGAACTGTGCTGGGAATCCACCTTCCACATTAGCTCAGGAAGAGTTGCTGGGCAAGGTTTGCTTTTTAAAAGCCTATAGGTTCCTAACTTCTGCCAGGTTAACTTTAAGAAACGCCTGGGCGTAACCGCCTGTGGCTGTTCTGAAATCCCAGCTTTCACAGTTGCCTGTGTTCACACCTCCATGTTTGCTTCTGCAAACGTTCATCTGTTTAAGTTTTGCTATCATAAATGCCAGAAAAGCAATTATGGTAATGTATACACTCATGATTCACCTCACCATAAACCAGAAATAATGCCACCACAATTGAGTGCAGCCAAAAGTCCCAGGAAAAAACAGCCAGTGCGAAAACCATCAGCAGAAATCCAAAAAATGTCATGCTCATCAGTGTATCACAAGCAGAAAGAAAGAGAAATTACTTGCTCCGCTGCAGAAATCCAGAGGCGAGAGCCACTTCCTTTCTCTGGTAAGGATATCTGCAAGTGTTTCCATGGTGCAAACTGTATGTCATGCACACAGAGATAAGACTTCTGCTTGATGCTTGGGGAGAAAATGTACATAGCTGTGGGGTTATGTGTGCTGCTGAAGATACACAGCAACAATGCTTGCCAACTCCAGAAGTCTCAGAATAAGAGAAAACAAACAAATGGTAAGGCAAACAAATGCCTCTCTTTTCTTCAGATTCCTTTTCAGGAAACTGAAGCACTCTACAAATAAAACACCGCAATTACCTTCACAACCAAAACTGTCTTCTGGATGATGGAGAAAGCAAGCCGCTAGAACAAACTGAAATTAGGCTGGTTCTAACTGCTGTACCCATAACTAGTATTTAAAGACAGATTTTAGGTCATTAAAGCTTCCTCAGGAAGCGACACGCCTCATCAAACGTAATTAACGTTATAGCAGGACAATTAAAAAGATCTCATCAGCAAAGCACAACTCTTTCAAACAGAAAGGCAAATTTTAAAGAGGCATTTCCATTCCTCCCTTGTCTTGGACCTCAGCAGCCCCATTTGCCATGCCACAGCAAACATCCTTTAAAGGCTTCAGAGGAAGAATTTGCTCCTTCATTCTATAGAGCATCCAGACATGACATTTACACAGCTTCATAAGGCAGCACATAAAACCTGACACCCTCATTTGGAACATAAAACACAGCAAAACACTAAAAAGGGAGTGCTCCACGATAGCATAATATCTGTCACACAAATCTCAACACAGGATCAAGCCTTCCAGGCTTATTCTTAACCAAATGTGCAAAACTTTTCCATTAACTTTGAAAGCCTTCCACCTCCGCCGCTTGGAAAGTGAACCGGCGGCCACACCTCACCCGCTGCAGGCCATGTTCCCCCGCTGCCTGCCTGCACAACACTGACATCTTGCTCTGTTATGTGTCCCTATTCCCGACAGCTTCGCAGACCGACTTCTTTTTTATACTCATCTGGGCTTCTGGGAACTGCACAGCTCCTAACTAGTGTGCGATACACTGCTTCAAGCCCTTTATTAGAGGCACACATGGCCCCTGTTATGATGAAAAATGCTTCTTTTTAAATGCGCACATATACTGCTCTATCATCACTCGGTGAAAGAGCCCACAAATCTTCAGCCTTGCCCTTCTACAGGCTATGAAATAAGAGGGGGGGAAAAAAGACAGCCTCTGCTAGTTCCTCTGCTAGGAAGGGAGCATTGCTGGGAACTGGATTCAAGAAAAATATATCCACACACGGAGCTTAACAAAGAACAACATATAGGCATCTAGCTGAGCGTTTTTTAAAGAAATTATTTTTTGGTTGCTTGTTTCTAGGAGGATTTTTAAATGCAAATGACTGTGATTCAATTTTTAGGTCTTGAAATGATCACAAGTCTTCTCTCAGATGAGAATTGTTAGCACCAAGTGCAGCTCCGGCGATTGGCTACCACCTCAGCCAGCCTGCAAAAGCAACAAGCAGCACTCTGTGGGGCCTTGCTGACACCATGGACACCCCTGTTGCTCTGCTTTACCAGTCAGTTACCTCCTAGCACGTGTCAGAGGTCAAAATGAGCCCCCTCATCCTGACACCTCGCTTACTGACCCTGCATTTAGACTCTTTCCTTTTAACTCCCCCATTCTCAGCCCATAAGCCCATCCACTTGGTTCCAGCTAGGTCTCGTGACACAAGGCTGGTACCAACAAGACCAAATTTCTTTTGGGGCCAGTTTTGTCCAGAGTGACAAGTGAATGCTGTGGTACGCTGACTTTCAGGCATCCCACAGTTATCTCAAGAGCTGTTGAGGCACATTTCATAATCCCATATTCCTTCTTGTGGTGTCTTTTCTGCTAACTCCACGCCCAACTTTGTGTTGAGTCTGGAGGTAAAAGAGTTCCTGTGGAAGAACCCAGCCCTAAGAGATGGCCTGCAATGAGAGGAATCTTCCAAGCACACAGGGACAAGCCTGCAAGCCAGTGTGGGTGGCTAAGCCTGCTGCCAAGTCTCAGCAAGGCAAAGGCAGGAGCACAAAGCTCAGTCCTCCCTTCTCTCCCTCACTGAAATGCTCAGCTCCACCCCAGGTGTTTCCCCATCCCCAATGGATGCGGTGGCAGAGCGCTGTTTCTCCAGGTCCTTTCCCCCAAGAAGTTACTCACGTGGCCATGCTGATCCAGCTCGTTGTTTGTGAGCTTCACCTTCTCAAACGACACCATCTGCTTCAGCAACTGCTCACCTGTGAACGGGGAGTCGGGGTGCACATACAGCCTGAAAGACACAGGGAAAAGGCCTCTGCATGAAAACTCGACTCACATAGGTACCATCTCCATAGGAGAATCCAAAGCAAGATTTTGCTTTCAAGATGTGGCATGGTTTCACAGCAGTAGGTTTCCTGAGAGCTCTGGGCAATACAGATCTGCTAGTACAGCAAGAAGCATGCGATCTGCCCAAATGAATGAATGCCATTAATGAAAGGCAGCAAAGCAGATGCCTGAAGTTGTTTAGTTCACAGGAACTGAATGAAGAATTCTGTGACCAAGTGCTAGATTGCTCCCTGGCCGTAGCTATTATTTTATCTAGTTATCTAAAATGGAGACATTAACTAACGGTCACTGTTGCTTCTTTTCCCAAATGAAAAATTGATCGTCTTTCCCCACAGCTGTACTAACAAGCACTTAAAATAACAATGACTGCGGCTCCAAGAGAAAAAACACAGTGTCATTAGAGAGATAATGGGGGAATGCAGATAAAAATGCATTTTTTCTTTATATGTAACATTAAGCCGTGATAATGATTTTAACCTGCATTCGATCACACGTTGGCTGTGGTGACGTGTGTTTATAAGAGGTTGAGGGCTGCGGTCCAGGACAGTGGTCTGACATGAAAGAAATTAATTGCAACTCTGTAATTAACAGCCCACAACCTAGGAAATTAAGCAGAAGAAAAGGAAGTAAGGAAGACATGTAGATAGAATGATATATACACTATGACTAGACGCAGTGCAAGTGCTGGCCTATTTAAAAACAATGATTTTATACGAATAATACGTTGATAAAAATGATTTAACTTGAAAGTGCTTTTGAGATAGCCAATTAAGGGCTGAATTAGAGCTTCAGCCAGTGCAAATCAGGCTGGTTCTGCTGCTGTCGGTGCGTGTTATCACTTGCAGAGGGCCTGGCTCTCTACAGACAGTGTTTTTGGCCACACCAAGAGATTCCCTCTATCATGCAGGGCTGAGATGCTGGCCAACAGAGAGAATTTGTTTGCTTTTTTTTTTTTTTTTCATTGAGCCATGATTCTAGTTAAGCAAAAGGAGAATAGAAAACCCTCAAAACGATGAGGCTTAGCTGCTTGAGGAACCATGCAGGTCCCTAATCAGCAAACAGCTGAGCCAAAGCCCCCTGAGGCACCGCTCTGCTGCTCCGAGGGAAAGAGATATGATCGTGGGCTCTCTGTTTTGCCAACAGAATCCACAAGGCACAGTCCTGCTGGTGAAACTGAAGCTTTACTGGCAAGGCTCGCTCCAGGCGGGCAGGATGTTTTCCTTCTCTTGATCCACAGCACCGCTCGGCTGGTGCAGCTGAACCCATGGGAGGGATGCTGTGCCAGCGAGCCCAACACACAGGGTCCTCCCTGCTCCCAGCTGTAGAGCAAAGCTCGTGAGGACATAACAGTGCGCCTGAAAACCTAAGATCTTTTATGAAAATCCACTTTGCTTTCCTGTATAAAACAGTCAAAACGTGAATTTTCGAAGCCTCAAATTACAGAAGGCAAAGAAAAAACAATCCTGACCATATCGCTTCCAGCCCCTGCATCTTTGCAGCCAGTCTCATGATTTTTTTTGGAGCCTGACTCCTAATTTTGCATGTCTGGATAGCTAATGCTGTTTACTGTGATCACAGAGCATCAGGCTCAGCAAGGTTTGGCTAATTGGGACCAAAAAGCCAAACTATTTCAAATATGCACTTGGGGAGCGAGTCAGGATTGTTGTGTGCCTACAAGCCGAGCACCATTGTTTTATGCCATACAGAGTTAATGGCTGGCACAGCACTCATGCTGTGAACGAGTTAGCAACGAGCTAGCAAGGAAGAAGCAGAAGGATTGGCACCCCAATAGTGGTTAGGCACACGTGTAATAAACCTGGCTTTTCCATGCTGATGCACCGCATGCCTCCAATCCCGCTGCACGCGTGGCTCCACCTGGCTGACCGCACCTCCCTGCACGCTTCTCCTGCAGCCTGACCCTGTAGCAGAGGGCTCAGAGCTAAATGCATTGCCCTCTGAGGCAGGGAAAGCAGGGTGGATTAGAGAAATAAACGCGCGCATTCCTGCGCTGCACACAAAACAACCCCAGAGCTGCGTGAGCTCTGCTGCCCACGGCCGGATGCGGGGATCGCTCTCCCGAGCTCACTGCAGCTTCAGGAGCCTTATTTGGTTGTGAATTTGCTCCACGGTGTTTCATGATACAGCCCAGGTTTGGGTACGGTTTCCTTCTCGCATAGTTGGGAGTGCTGCAGAGCTCTGCTTCTGTTTAGCTTAGCAGCTGTTCTGGTCCTACAAGCCCTAAAGCTTCTATGCATGTTGCTTTTAATTACATCTGTGTCCCAAACAGATAATTTTCAAAGTACAGTGCCTTTAAAAAGTTTCCCCCGTAAGCATGCAAACACTACAATGCCAATAAATAAATGATGATGGGCAGCTTACTGCAGCCAAATAAAATACGCAGACGGAAGTGTGTGTGGTGGGGGGGGGATGAGAGAAAAGAACTTTATAAGTGAAAGAAAGGGGATGAAAAAGAAGAGGGGCAAACAAATGTACATGCTGAAACTTATGAAACTGATGATTCTTTCTCAAAGCCTCAGCAATGTGGAAGAACAAACATGAAGTATCACACAGGAATTCTATTTCCAGATAGCAGCCTAGCAGATTGACAAAGGACTCTCTGAAAAGTAGCTGTATTCAAGTGATCGTTGCAGCACAAACTTGTCTGACAGCAGGAAGGCAGGGATATTACTGCTTCTTGCAGCAAGTTCCCTGAAGGGCTCATCTTTCAGAGGGAATCACAGCGTACTGTTCAGTTCTGAGGAAGGCTGGCTTAGCGCTGAAAGTTAGTTTTATAATAAGAAAGAGCAGAGCAACTCACAGGTTTGCTTCTGCAGAGCCTTTCAGGTAGGCATAAGGGGAGTCCTGAGCAATCCTCAGGTTGCAGTGGTACCCACACAGATATGGGACCTGCTCAGGTGAGGGGGGACACAGCCGTGTGCCTGGGGGTGTGAGAGATTGCTGCTGGCAGGGCTACTCTTATCACAGCAGGAGCAGATCCATTCAGGATGGGAATGGTGCTGCTTTCTGCTTGAGCAGGATGGAGGCCTCCTACCTCAAAAGTGGTACCAGCACTCTGCCAGCAGCATCGGTAATGCAAACAGCAGCATGCTCCACCTCTTGCCAAGCTTTCCTTACCGAATAATTTAAAGAGCAGAAAGTGCATGTACATGGCACCGTGCATACAAAGGAGAAGGAACCTGTGTCTGCCATCAGCCTGTTGGCTGAACATCCTGAAAACGAAATGAGATGTGCAGCAGAGGTACACGTTTGTACAGAGGAGCACTGACCCAACAGGAACCTTACAGAGCTGCCACCAGACAGTGGTAATTAATGTTAAATTCCAGCAAGGTTTGACCCCAGCCCTATAGCAGCTAGCAGGAAAGGAGTTGCTCATTATTTCAAAGGATCGGTCTCTTATCTTATACTCTTGTGAATATTTCTCCATTGAGCCAGTTCATGTGTGGATCAGCAGCCTATGTAAGGGTACCCCAAAAGCAAATGCTAAAGGGAGAAGCCTGCCCTGAAACTATTTCTGTCCTTCCCCTATTTTTTCTTTTGATGCTGACTCCTTTGGAGCAGGACCCATGTATTTTCCGTGGGGTTTGATCAGTGCCCATTACAGTACCCCAGATGAAGCCCTCTGACGCCAACCACGCTGCAGGAAGGAGCTTTTGGCCACGAAAACAAAGCTGCCATAACTCCTGGGTTACTGCTTTAATAACAGCTTCTCCCTGCACGCCTCCTGCGTACTTCCCCGAGCCGCCTTCAGAGATGAGCAGTCAGCAGGATTTCAGCGGAGCTGCTCCAACAAGGAAATCTCTCAGCCTTCGGTCCCCAAACCCATCCAAACAAAGCGCTGCCACTCCTTCCTTCACTCCTAACGTCTCTCTCTCTAATAAGCAAGATCTCAGCCCCGGGCTGAGGCACCTGGCGCTGCCCTCGATGCCTGCATGGAGCCAGGCATCACCCCCGTACAGCCGCAGCTCCGGCTGAGCAGCGCCGGTCACGTTGTGATCCCATGCCGTGCAGGGGATGAGCCACAGAACTGCTGCACTCTGCCCGGAACGGCCGCTTCCCCGTGCAGGGAGGAGTCATATTTATCAACAGCAGTAAGGGAATGCTCACGGAGATTCGTTTCCTACAGCATTTTGCTTCTGTATGGAAGAGGTGTTGGTGTGGAGAAAACAGCTTCATTTGTCGGTGGGTTTGTTTTTGTTTTTGTCCCCTAAAGTCTCAAGGTCTGCTACAGATCCTCAATAAGAAACCCTCTGTGCCATAGGACTGACCCACGCTTTGCTTGTTCTGTAAGGGACAACTAAAGAGTGGTCAGTAAGCACTGGACATGTTTTTAAGAAATAATGTAATGCCAAACATAAGCAGTGCTGCGCTGTAACGTGGCATCGCCGCCGGATTTGGATAGCGTTAAATTACAAGGTCAGACATAGCGGGAAGGGCAGAACAAACCCAGGGACAAAGCAATGGGTTTTTGAAATTTTTTTCTGATCTGAATTGAGGTAAACTTCATTTAAAAATACATATAGACATAAACGAGCCTTCAGCCAGCAGCTTCCTTTAGAAACGCACGCAAATACGCAAGAGCTTTTGGCCAAACCCCGTTCAGCTTCGAACACTGGGTATAAATCAGCCCTCAAGCAAAGATCTGAGGCCCCACTCTGCACCACAGAAATTAATCAGAGTTCTGAGATCGAGTTTGTCGGGCACGGACTCGAGCTCTCAGAGCGCTGTTTGCAAACGGCATCAAAGATTAACAGCAGGTATTTCAGGAAGGAGGGGGGGGGGGGGAGGGTAATGAATAAATAAAGGGAAGAGAAGGGAAGAAATGCAGCTGCAGAGCCCACAAACCTTGCTGGGAGCGGAGGGTCGGCTTTCCCAGCCACCAGCCAGGAGGAGCGGTGGTAGGCATATCTGTATCTCTTATTGTCCACCGGAACGATATCCATTAGCACGATGTACTTGGCTTCAGGATCCACCCCCGAGAAAGAAACCCTGATCGTGGGAAACATCCTCCTGGAAGAGAGGAAAGCAGGAAATAAATATGGGACAGGGGACAGAATGAAGCGCTTCAGAAAAGCTGCTACGAAGGAAATCTCTGTTCAAATCTCCTAGAAAAAAAATAAAATAAAATGAAAGCATCTACCAATATTGCTACAGCGTGACAGAAATTGCATCCTGTGCACCTCTGCAATATGCACAGAAGTGCTGCTTGAAGTTCAAACGATTTCTTTAAAGCAAAAGGAGAAATGGCAAAAGTGAAAAAGTAAAGGAGACAACGATTACTGCCTGGTTATTAACAGAACGCTGTGCTTCCAAAAAATCGTTGCGCCAAAGAAATACTGATTCAGATCTATTTTTAATGAGATACATGCTGGAGCTAGAGCAGTAACACAGCACTTAATTCAGCAAACACGCTCACTGATCTTAGATGCATTCCTACAATATTTCTGAGAGGCGTTTTGAGAATTCAGCTCTCCCTTCGGCATTAACATTTTGACAAATTTCACAGTTTTTTCAGTGTAAGCTTTTTGCCGTGGACCAGAAACAGCTTTAAACAACTTTCGACATATATATATATATATATATTTTAAATGAGCTTCAAATTCCAGATTTTATATATCCGTTGGGGTTATTTTTTTAACAGACACTGGTGCGGAGCCGTTCCTTAGAGAAACAGTCAGCAAACTCGGTTCCGAACGAGTCGCTTCGGGACCAACCCCGAGCAGACGCCCGGCTCCCCCGCGCAGCCAAACCAACACGAAAACATCCCTGGAAAAACGGTTTGAAGCGACAGCAAAGCCTGGAGTCCTTCTGCGCACTAATTTACAAACGAGAGCGGGGATAATCCCCGCTTTCCGTGCCATGTCCGTGCCGGCACAGCCCCGCACTCACAGCCGGGAGCCCGGCGCAGCTGCGTGCGGGCAGCTCCGGGCACAACCAAAGCTCCACCGCACCGCACGGCTCTCCCTTTGCGCACCCCGCAGCGCAGCGCGCGCTGCTCTCACTCCTATTCGCGCTGCGCTCCCGGGTCACAGCCGGGAGCTGGGACTTTTTTCATCTTTATTTCCCCCCCCACCCCCTTTATTTTTCAAATTTCTCTCTTTTGCTTCTTTTTATCACTGCAACTCTTCCCCTTCCCTCCCCCCCCGGCGCTGCTGTCGGGCCGCCGCCAGCCGTACCTGCCGGACTTGGTGATGATCATCTCCGTGCCCAGCTCGTGAAACTTGTCCCACAGCTCCTTGGTCTCCAGGCTGCAGGAGATTTTGGCCATCTCCTCGCTGGGGATGATGGGGGTGGTGGGGATGAGGGGCTCGGTACACAGGGCCGAGGGGCTGCCGCTGAAGTCCCCGTGGGGCTCCAGGCCGGACAGATCGCTCAGAGGCTGCGCGCAGGAGGACTTCTCAACGAATTGCTCTGCGGGGTTCGGGGGAAAGGAGACAGTGAGGGGACGTTGAGCCGGGCTGGCTACCGGCAAAAAGAGCTTTCCAAAAAGGAGGCATTTCTAGCTCGGTCGGGCCCCTCCTTCCAGCGCTCCCGCAGAGCCGCGCTGCTCCTCCGGCTGGTGATTTGAGCTAGAATATGGGGAGGCTGGCTCCAGCCCTTCATCCACCCCAAAAAAGGGGAAGGATGCCCGGAGCCGACCCCGGCTGTGGGGCGCGACGGCTGAGGGCGGCCCCGGAGTGAGACTGGAAAGGGGATTTCCCCCAAATCTCCGGGTAATAGAAGCCGGGGTACAGACAGTCGTTTTGCTTAGATTTCTAAGTGAATGGCGTGGGGAAATGGGTTAAAAAAGTTTGAAAAACGATAAAGCGAAGGTTTCTAAAAATAAAATAAAATAATAGTAATCATAAAGAGAGAGAGAGAGAGAGAGAGAGAGAGAGAGAAATAGCCAAGCTTAGCCCGCTTAAATGTTCCCAACAGGAGCACTGTGGCACAGCCGGCCTGCACCGTGCCTCACAAGCAAAGAAATAAAGTTCGCGATGGATCCCCGGAATACCCGGGCGGGGGACTCGGGGGGAACGCACAGAGAGCGGCCCTTCCCGGCCCCCAGCCCAACGTTCACGTCGGGCAGTGGCCCTGCGAGCGCGATGCTGATTTCTTGTACAGCTCTGCGCTCTCTTGGATCCGCGCAAGGGACGCACACAGATCGGAGAGAGCGGTACAGGCGTCTTTTTAATATCCGTCAGGAACGGGAATGCGGGCGATCGCAGAGAAGCCAAATCGCTCACCCGAAAGTCACCCGGAATCGCCAGAAACACCCCTCACTCCCGGCCCGGGTGCCGCAGGCTGCCGCTGCCGCTCGGAGCCCGCAGCGAGCGCTGGGAGCGAGGGGCTTTGAGGGCTGCGGGCAGTTTTGTCCATCCCTGTGTACCCCGGGGCTTCTTTTCTTTGACTTTGAGAACCATGGGTCATTCGCTTTGCATATTTAAGCGCTTTATGTCGCAGCAGAAGACGGAAACGCTGCTACCTCGGAGTGTGAGATTATTCTACGAATAGCGAAACCCGAGAAAGAAAAACAGCGGAATGGAACACGGAGGGACCCACGAAAGGGGTTGCGCTCCGAGCAGCCTCTCTCGAAAGCGACGAAAAAAAGACAGAAGCGGCTTTGGCGGAGCGGTTCTCCGCAGGGAGCCTGGAAGAGGCAGAGCCGGGCCGGAGCGTGGGCCGGGTCCCGTTCACCCACCGCCCCGCCGCCCACCTGCGCTCGCCGCCCGCCCACCCGCTCTCACCCAGCGGCTTGATGGTGCTCTCGGCGGCCTCCTTGTCCTTGGAGCTGCCGCTCGACATCAGGGCGGCGATGGAGAAGGCGTTGGCCCGCGACGAGAGCTGCGGCTTCGGGGGCGGTGTGTACTCCATGGCGAGCCCCGCCGGGGCGGCTCGGCTCCGCTATTCTCCCCTCTGTCCCGTCCCGTCCCGTCCCGTCCCGTCGCAGCGGCTCTCTGCAGCCGGGCCCGCGCTCTCCCGCGCCTTAACGCGCGGCCGCCGAGATGCTATCGGCCGGCGGCCAATCGGCGGCGGGACACGTCAAGGGCCCCGGGCTCGGCGCGGCCGCGGAGGAGGGGGCGGAGGCGGGAGGAGGAGGAGGATGGAGCAGGAGGAGGATGCGGGAGGAGGAGGAAGAGGAGGAGGAGGAGGGGTGGGCAGGGGGCGGCCGTCCCCGCGCTCTTTCCGCGGGCGCTGAGCTCCCCCGGGCCGCCCCGCTCTCGGCGTCGGTTTTCCCGTAGCGGAATCCCCCGTGCTTTGTGCCGGTCCCGCGGAGTCCCAGCGCGGCCCCAGCCCCGCACCGAGTGCTGCTGGTGGAGCGCGCTGAGCGAGGAGATCCAGGAGAGTCACAGCTGAGGGCTGCTCTGGGGCTGCGATGGGAACGGACTCGTGCTCCCTTCAGCTCTGAGAGTCACAGAGACACAGAACCACAGGACGTCCCGAGTTGGAAGGGGCCCACAAGGACCGTGGAGCCCAAATCCCAGCTCCGCACAGCACCACAGCACCATGTGAGCACTTGTCCGTAAATAAAGAAGCGGGAATGTAACTGAAGTTCCTCGAATAAAATAAACAGAACGGCTTTGCTCCCCGAAACGAGTCAAGGGCAGGCGCGAATTTGTAGCTAAGTTCCACCTCCTGAACTCAAAACGGGGTCCGGGAGTGCTGCAGGGGCAGCAGCGCGCTGCTGGGATCGCTGAAGAGCATCCGCGGAGCTGCCTTTGCATCAGCAGAGCTCCCTCAATGCATATATACACACTACGCGACAAATGTGTATTCAATACAAAAATAAAATTTTATATGTATGTATATATATATATATATATGTACAGAGGAGATCTCGCTTTGCCTCGTAGGAGATCCGGCAGCACTTTGGGCTGCCACTCTCACGGATGGGGTGAACGCAGAGCCCAGCAGCGGCACTGCCGCCCGGCCGCTCCTCTCCGTCCAGGGCAGCGGGGCAATAAAGCGCCCGGCCCAGCGGGGGCTGCCGTGCAGGTGCGGCACTGTTCGTGGCTCACGGTGCCGGTCTGACCCGGCCCTACCCGTGCCTTCCTGAGGAGCCGGAACCGGGACCCCGCCGGTACAACGTGCGGCGTGTGCAGAGTGGGGCTTCGTTTTGTTTCAAACGGGGTCCTTCCCCGAGAGAGGGGGAGAGAGAGAGAAAGCAGATCTGCGAGCTGGGCAGGGTTTCTCTCCGTCCGGCGAGAACCTTTAAATTCTCGGTTTTGATGAGGATGAAGGAACGAGGCCCGTCTGGCCCCCCACTCCCCGGGGCAACGAACGGGGGGCCGGCTCCGGCCGCCCCACCCGGGCCTGGCGGAGACGCGCGTGGAGCGGGGCCGCGAGCTGGGATCGCCGGGGCTGGGGATGTCGGGCTGGGGGTGCCCGCCGCCCCCCGATCCCCGGGGATGTCACCGCTCTTTGTCGCTGCCCCCCTCGGCAGCACCGCTTCGCCCGAGCGGGACGGAGCGTTTCGCCTTCTGCGAACCCGTTTGAACGAAATCCGTCAGTGCTGCAAAGCACACGAAACGAGCACCGCAGCTCTTTCTGTGTAGCACACCCAGGGGTTTGCCGCTGGCGTCCCTCTGGCACGGCAGAGCCATTTCATTATACTTCCCCCCGAGATTTAAAAACACGTCCATCTCCTCCCCCCTCCCCGAATTACACGAAGACCCCTCGCTGCCTTTTGCCGTGGAAAACACGGCCGCCACCAAGAGAGGCGGCCGATTCGGTATCTCCCCGATGCAAATCCATGCTGGGAAGAGAAAGGCTCTATTAATACCCGAGGGCTGGCAATGAGATTAGAGCCCAATTGCGGGCGGATAATGTGCTAAAAGCTTTCCCGTTCCGTGTAACTCCCCGACGAAAATTATTCGCACATCGCAGGCGGCGGACGGAAGCGGCTTTGTATGCGCGGAGCGGGCACGGGGACACACACACACACACACACACACACACACGCACACACGCACACCCGAGGTCTCCCAGGCGGGAGACCCCGATCCCGACCCACGCAACAGACCCGCTCCCGGGTCAGCCCTCGCTCCTAACGAGACAGATGACACTTTCTCAAAGAGTTAAACCTCCGTCCGTGTGCAGCTCCCGTCGATTTCAGGTCGGGTTGAAGCAATCTCCGCGCACCGAACGGACGCGCACCCGGCGTTGCCCTCGCAGCGTTCCGCCGCCGTAACCCGGAGCAGCAGCGGCCGGCTCGAGGGGAACGGGCACCCTCGTTTAATTCAATTCGTGATCGCTTCGCGTTGTGACAGCCGCCAGGAACGGCTGCAAACCCTTTATCCCGGCCCGGGCTCGGCAGCACCCACGCTGCGCCCGCGGGATCAGCATTTCCCCCGGCCCCGCACCGCTCCCGCCCCGCCCGGCGAAGGGCTCCAAAAGAACTCAATGCACCGCATTTTATGTGCGCCGTCCCAGCTGTTTCGGGGGCAGGGAGCGGGCTTTGGTGTTCTCTGGGAGGATGGTCGCGTGATTTGTTTGTACAAAATAAAGCGTTTTCCATTTCTTGACACACACACACACACAAAAAAAAAGCATTGAGAAATGTCCTTCCAAATCACGAAACGTGGCTCGCTCACTTAGCGGATGAGAATAGAATTCAAATGGGAACAAAATTCAACGTGAAGAAAACAAACAAACAAAACCACAACTATATATGTAACTATAGCTACATCTATCTGTCCATCTACGGATATATCCGTCCGTTCATCCGTATGCACATAGCTGCGCCCTACAGCCGAGCTCGCCCGGCGATGCTCCCTCTCTTAGTTGCGTTCCGCGGAGCGCAGCCCGAGGGTCCCCGCACACTGAAACCGCCCCTTCGCCCCATCGTTTTCCTGCAAAACAAACAGCGCTCCTGCATTTCAGAGCTCATCTTAAAGACGTAAAAAAGGGGCAGCTCCCGCTACCCCGGCCGTGGCTCGATCCTGCGGCGGAGCTGGGGCGAGCCGGCACCGGGCTGCTGCGCGCTGCAGAGGGACGCGGGGCTGCCCGAGCGATGCTCCAACGCTCCCAGCAACGACCGGTTCTTTGGACTCGTTCTTGTTTTCTGCTAACAGCAACAGGCATTTGTTGGGAAACTTGGGAATTATCTTTTTCAAGCTATTGGCTATTTCATATTTTCATAGTGCCAGATTTTCGTCCTTTCGTATTTTCATAGCTTCGTATCTTCGTATTTAATTTTAAACTTAAGAATTATCTAATAAACACTTTAAAACTGTATTACCTGACAGGCATACAAAAATTTTGTTTACTTTGTATTTGTTTTCATTTTTGTAACAAATTGTATATTTAAAATACATTAACAAGCAACACGTTGCCAATTAAAAGCATCCAGATTGGTGCCATCTCAAGGAGCACAACCCAAACACAAGGAGTGCTTTCTCAGAACACGCTCAGAACAGTGCTCAGAACCACTCTTGTGATGGTCCCACGCACGCTCAGACAAGAGGCAGTTTTTCTCCCCTGGCTTCTGCAGGCCATGGATTGGTTGGTGAATGTCAGTGCTGAGAGCGACGGCGATACGAAAATAGGAATAGCGGGAAGTGTGGGGAAGGACAGAAACCTCAAGAACTAAGAAAAACAGCATCTGGCCAATGCTAAGACTTTTTTTTCTTTTTTTTCTTTTTTTTTTTTTTTTTTTTTTCTCTCTTCTAAATAGAAGCGTCTCTGGTTTTAGGTCTTCAGCTCGCGAGGTGCTGGGTGTTGGTTACTTCATCCAGATTTATGGCTCCTCAACACTTCTTTTGCTGTGTCCCAAGTTCCGTCCCAAAATATCTGAAGCTGAGAACCTAAAATTAGAGCTTGCCTCTGAAACTGCTGACCCCTGCACATTTTCCCTCTGCAAACGCACAGCAGCAGGAGCACACCCAAAGACAACGGGTTTTGCTTCGAGGGCTGGCAGTAGAAGAAATTAAGAAAAGGCTATCGGCCATTTCTTGAAAACTTTCTGGTTTTTGCACAGTGATGCACTGTGCTCACTTTGTGTCCCGGATCTCATCTGGGAGAGGCAAAAGAAAATGTTTGTCAGTTTCCAATATATAAAGAGCGAGAAAGAATAGAGATGCAGGGAGCAGCCCCATCTGCTGCCCGAAGCACCACTGCAGCCCCAGCACAGAGGGCACAGCCAGAGCATGGCCAGGCACAGCTGGTGTGCTTCCACGTGGGGACACGAGGAGAGCATTCCTGCAGCACAGAGAGAGGCAGCACAGTATGGGGAGCTGCAATGGGGTGTTCTGGCACGAAAATGATTTTGTTTAAAGTGTGCAGTGCTAAGGCCTGCTGTTTCAAAAGTATTCAGGATTAGGGCTTGGAAAACATATTTCAGTACCCATAGCATACTGCTGATTTATCTGGCTGAGCTTGTTGGGTGAAACAGGGCTTATTTAGAATAAGCTGGTCGTAAATAATGCTGGGGGAAAGCAGTTCCCAAGTTTGTGCAGCTCTCTGCACAAGCTCTGCTGGCAGCTTGGCACCCGCACCGTTTTCATTTCAACGGTGTGAAGACAAGTGTACAAGCTGTGTGCTTCCTGCCCCGGCTGCCAGCCCTGCAGCACAGCCCAGCCTGCTCCCATTGCTTCCATCAGAGCACGGAAACCAACCCACCTGGAACCACAGCTGTAACACATTCCCAAAAGCCACTCTGGTCACTGCTGGCGCGCAGAGGTGAAAATCCAGCCCTGCTCACATTAACAGTTCGCTTAGTGTGGATAGAGGAGGAACACAAACCACTGGTCCAATGGGTTTTTTGAGACTTGGTGGTGGTAACGCAATATTTGTGGTCTGTACGAAAGCTCTTAGCAAGAACGAAAATGAGACTTCTGGGTGACGTTGAAACTAACACAACAATTACAATGGTT